ACATTTCACCCTACCAGATCATTTCACAGATGCAGATGTGGAGAAAGTCAAGGACGCTGCTCTTAGGAAGATGGCGGTTGCATTCAAGAACCACGAGATTCGTGAATGGGCCAAGTACGTCAAGGGAGGAAGGAAGACTCCAGTATTTGAGGGAACACTAGAGAAGCAAAGTGCTCATTGGTACGATTTCGTGAAATTCAAGGATTCGGAATTATCTAAGGAACGGTCCAGAATAAACAATGCCAATGTCGCAAAAAAGGATAAGTTCCATAAGCTGGGGCCAGGTGGCTATGCGGTGGGAATGCCTAAGTGGGATAAGTCTAAGAAAGAGATGCTGGATGCATGTGTCACTCCAGAAACATTGAGCTGGCCCCCCAGGTGCAGGACTTGGTTCTATGCGCATGGAAGGGAGTTGGACCCGAAGACAGGCAAAGTTTCGAAGAAGGCATGTCTGGACGGAGCCGAAGATAAGCTACTTCTTGCAATAGAAGAGGCTCGATCGGGGTTGTTCGAGCCCAACAGAGAGAACGACGAGCTTATGCGTGCCCTGGGAAATCCTGAACACCCGGGAAGAACACGAGGCATGGGCGCTATTTCGTGGTATGAGGGGTTTTCGGACTGGAACGCCGACTACAGAACCTGTGCGAGAAAGAAGATTGCGGAGGAGAAGAAGAGGAAGATGGAGGAGGAGCATAGGAAGCTAGACTATGAACGCCTTCAAGGCCTAGAATCAACGCACGCGGACTTGTCAATCAAATTCCGGCGGCAGCAGGAGCAGATCGACTCACTTAGCCAGCAAAGGGGGTCTCAGCAGCTAGCGGATGATCCACCAATGGATAGCACCGTCCCATCCATGCCGAGAAGCAGCGTGGGTTCCGCCCCGGGCGACGCATTGCTGGATAGCTACCCAGTGGATGACATCATGGAGAACACTAACTGCGAGCTACACTTCAAAATGAATAACATATCCATGAAGGTGGCGGACGCCCTTGCTTTTACAAATCCCCCCGAGGCAACCTTCCATTGCAACCCGATTCCAGCGGGCTTTGCTCGTGTCTTGGTTGATGAGGTGGTGGACCAATATTCGGGGCTAGAGCTTGACATTCCTGGAGGTAACGATGAGCACACACTAGGAGAGGCCAACCATCGTATCATCCTATGGAGAAAGGATTGCATCATCTTTCGAAGGCCACCGACACCGCGTCATCCGACTCCTCGTCGCAGTCCGCCACCGAGTCAGCAGACTCCCACTCCTCCAAGTCCACCAACGCGTCAGGCCACTCCTCCTCCAAGTCCGGCACAGCTTCAGGCCACTCCTCCTCCAAGTCCGGCAAAGCGTCAGGCCACTCCTCCTCCAAGTTCGGCACAGCTTCAGGCCACTCCTCCAAGTCCGGCACAGCTTCAGGCCACTCCTCCTCCTCCAACTCAGCCACGTCATCCGTCTTCGCCGCCTCAGCAATCACGGAAGAGAGCCACCTCAGCTATGGTGCGTAGCGGTACAAGTCGAGGTAGTACTGCAGGTACATGCGGAGGCAAGCGATTTCAATATGGTCCAAGCCTCGCGCCTCTTCAGCAGAGGCCTTACGACAAGTCCGAGGAGGAAAACGTAGCCATATCGAAGGCCGAGGTGGAAGCCCATTTTGCACCGAAACCTCCACCGCTGCCAAGGGAGAAAGTGCTTGTGGAAAAGATTGACCACTTCATTCGTATGGCTAGACCACCAGCTCCTAAGCCTGTTGACACAGACTATGAGCGCCACCTCAGGAAGTTAAATCGAGCACGTCTACAGAAAGAGGCGAGCTCGAGCTCGAGCAAATCAGCTGGCAAAATGAGCGGTAAAATCATTCCCCAGCTGGGAGAACAGGCGGCGCAATCAATCCCCCCGCTTGTTGTGCCAACAACACATGAGAGTAGGCGCGCCCAATATTATTGTGGGCAAACCGTTAACGTTCCCGGGGTGGGCGATGTGGCAATAACCGAGGAGCATATTGCGCAGGCTGAATCGATCGGGATCACTGTTGGATAACTCCTCGACATCGAGCCCATGTCTCCGACTAGAGAGGAGGAAATAAAACGGAAATATGCCCGGGGCCAACCTTTGGTCGAGCCAGAGGAGGTCAATAAGCTCCCAACGAGAATGTATGAATTGCATCAATGGTACATGGACATTACCAAGATTTCCAATCGAGAGTCCCTCATGGTGAATGTCAAGAAGGATCATTACTACCATGAGAAAGCTGTGACCGTTGAGTATTCAGAACTATTTCAGCTATACAATAAAGACGCACTCGACAAATCTATCGTCAGTTGCTATTGTCTGTAAGTGATTTCTTTCTGTAATTTAAGTCTCAAGCTAGCTGTAGTGATCATTTTGATCAATCATTACCTGTAATTATCCTCGCTATATTCTTTTCTGTGGTATTATGCAGGATGAAGATTTATGAAATAAAAAAAGGTGGACGCTATGGTATTGGGTTCGTTGACCCAAATACCATTAACGAATACACATGGAAAATAGATCCATATCACGAAAAAAGTGTAGAGGAAAGCATGCTACAGTTCTTCAAGGAACTCAAATACAATGAAGATATACTACTTCCTTACAACTTCCAGTGAGTCACACTGTCTTGTACTACAAATTCTATTTTTCCCTACTAGCTAGCTACATGTTTTTGCTTACATATGCCCGCTTAATTAAGACATGCAAACGTGTGTGCATGCAGATTTCACTGGATCTTGTTAATCATTAAAGTTGATGAAGAAACAGTTGAAGTACTAGACTCGCTACTTAAGAAAGCAAGTGACTACACCATCATGAAGGGGATAGTCAACAGGTAATTTCAATCATTATTAACTATATCTCGACCTATTTAATTAGTTCATCATTTCCTGATAACAACTATTTAATAACCCATTTATTCATTTTCTTTGTCGGCGGGGCAGGGCTTGGGCAAAGTTCATCAGGGCCACTCCAGGCGCATGGAAACAAAAGTTGAAATGGTATCAACCCAAGGTAAGTAATTAAGTAGTACTAGCTAGCTGCCATCTCTTTCATTATCATGTTTGATTAATTATTATCTGATCAAATTCCATTCTCGTAAAGGCCCTGAAGCAGGCGCCGGGGAATGATCTATGTGCATACTACGTTTGCGAGAACATTCGCATGATGGCGTCCGAAAGGAGCAAATCTCAAAGACAGGAGTGGGTACGATATCGATTGTTAGAACACTATTCACAATTTTTACATCATTATCGATATCTAGTCACACAACTCATACACATGCATATTGATCTCCTTCTTAACAGTTCAGAGAGGTGCGGGACAAGCTCCTAGCACAGGACCGCATAGAAGCAATTCAAGAGGAAATAGCGGAATTTTTGCTCGACCAGGTCATAGATCCCAAAGGAGAATACTATTACCCGCTACCGCCCCCATAAACCACTTCCAATTGTTATCGTGCTCCGAAGGCACCAATTAGCTAGGCTAATGCCACTGGCTCCGAAGGCACCAATTAGGAGAAATTGTGTGTGTGTGTATATATATATATATTATGATCGGTTCTACTAGAAATTCTATTTTATATATATGCATAACATGTACAATATGTAGTATCGTAAAATACCAGCAAATGAAAAAGAATTAAATGGAAAATACAAAATTAAATAAAAAAGAAATCATAAACCCAAAACCCCCCAACATTTTAATACCGGTTGGTGACACCAAGCGGTACTAAAGGGCTCCCTGCCCCCGAAGTTGGCTCGTGCCACGTGGTTGTCCTTTAGCACCGGTTCGTGCTGAAACGGTACTAAAGGGGGGGGGGCTTTAGTGCCTACATTTTAGCGCCGGTTACCAAACCGGCACTAAAGGGCCTTACGAACCGGTGCTATTGCCCGGTTCTGCACTAGTGATGGTGGGGAGGGGGGCACGGAGACACGCGATGACGTAGTAGAGTTGGCGGCTCCATCACCGACGACCACTTTGCTAGCGGCTGGACGGCCGCTGCCGCCTGCTCTTCTGTGCGAGGTGTTTTGTGGAAAAAAAAGAAAAATCCAATAAATCATAAATGCACTTGCTAATATTCAGGGAAAAATTCAGCTCAATTGGAGCAAAGAATTGTGAGATATTGACAATTCTAGTTGGCTCCTGATGTGGTCGGTATATATATATATATATATATATATATATATATATATATTGCCAACACACCTAAATGATGGATTAGACTTAGTTGCAACAAATTACATCAATATAAGTGTTTTGTGCAACAAACTTATCCACAACAGAACCATAGCCAGAACATGTATTCAGACAGAGGGGCCATGGAGGCTCGAGCTAATGTTTATCCTGGCGAGATTCTGTCTAGCACATCACGGCGCAGCTTACAGTTGAAGCCAAACAGTAGTGCTCCTACTATTTCCTTGTCGTGTGATCTTAGCTTATTGGTAGCAGCACAGACTAGACTAGCGTGCATAGGCGTGAGCGAGCTACAGTCATGTACAGTAGTTGACTGTAGGAGACGGCGAGAATCGCCAAAAGCGACCCTTCTCACTGTACAGAGCACCCGATGCGGACAAGCTGTTGAGGCAAGCAAACGTTGGCATTTCTTCGACTACTACTCCCTTTTATGGCATTCGCAATTTCTGGCTAGCTGCAAACCTTGACCTGTACATCTGACCCGAGCTTCGGTTGGAAGCCTAGACAGTTTGTAGCTCGTATCCACCATGACTGCGGGCCGCGGCCACCACCAACCACATCGGCCCGCGGAGTCCACGCCGCGCGACCTCGAGCGCGCACGACAAGCTGAACCCTGCGACTCCAGTGTAGAGTGCAGTCAGGGGTTAGTCAGTCAGCAGCAGCGGAAACGTTGGACCCAACAAAAGGTCGGAGGCACGTACAAACGGCTGGTGCCGGCTTTGAGCTTGGACTCTTGGAGTGCGCGTGCTGTGAGGGGTTCTACTTACCTAGTCCGTACGTCACGTGCACCAGGAAAGAAGAGCAGATGGTGGCGCCGGCCGCGGAGGCGGTGGCCGGCCGCAAGACCTTGCCGGACGAGTGCAAGACCCTGTGGCAGATCGCCGGGCCGGTCATCCTCACAGGCGTCTTCCAGTTCCTCATCGGCTTCGTCAGCGTCACCGTCGCCTTCGTCGGCCACATCGGCAAGGTTGAGCTCGCCGCCGTCTCCATTGTCATCGGCGTCATCGAAGGCCTCGGCTTCGGGCACACACGTGCATCATAGCAATACACACATGCATCAGATTTCGAAATTATTAAAGAAACACAAATTGCTTCGAATAACTGCGGGTTTGAATTTGGGACCTTGCGCCATTTGGCCACCCGGCGTTAAAATTTGGGTACCGTACAGAGTAGCGACATGTGAAAGATTTGTACGTTGAAATGTGAACCAATGGCGAGGGTGTGGATCGGATGCTCTGGTTAACGTAAAGGCTGAAAGGAAGCGCGAAGGAAAAGTTTACAGCTAGTGTGGCACTGGCACAGAATCTTGGCTATTCTCCGTAGACCGATCTTGTGCATCGGATTAATCTCATGTGCCAGAGGAACTCCATTATCTCATATTCTTTCTTCGGTCTAGCTCCTCTGCCATAACAGTTATTCCGTCTTAAAGTTTATGTTGATGATAAAGACGTTGTATGGAAAACAAAAAAAAATTACGCACACGCAAGATCTATTCATGGAGATGTATAGCTACGAGAGGGGAGAGTGTGTCCATGTACCCTCGTAGACCGTTAAGCGAAAGTGTTTATCACGCGGGTTGATGTGGTCGTACTTTTTACGATCAGATCACGATCTAACTGATCTAGTGCCAAACGGACGGCACCTTCGAGTTTAGCACACGTGCGGCTCAATGACATCTCCTCCTTCTTAATCCAGCAAGCGGGAGAGGAGAAGTAGATGGGATCACAACCAACACGACGGCATGATGATAATGATGGTGGTGGAACACCGACAGCGCTTCGCTAAGCGTCGCCGGGACGAGGCGGTGGAACTACGGAGTAACGGGAGAGAGAGGGACGCCAAGGGCTTGGTCTGTCCTCTTGGGACGCCCCCTCCCCTCTATATATAGGTGGAGGGGCGTGGTAAACAGCCCCTCCAACTCCTAGGGCGTAGCTAAGGGGGAGAGGACCTATACTTCAAGTCCAATCTTATTCCTACTAGGACTCCTTCCTTTTTTGTCTTCCCTAGCCACATAGGCTTTCGAGGACTTAGTGCACCTAGCCCAATAAGGCTAGGGCGCCTCCCCGCAGCCCATGCTAGCCCTTGGGTCGTGGTGGAACCACTTGTGGACTTTCGAACCCCTCCGGAATCCTCCAGAACCTTCTAGAAGCTTCCTGGTACAATACCGAAAGAACTGCATCTTTTTTGAAACCCAAAATATGACTTCCCATATATAAATCTTTACATCTTGACCATTCCGAGACTCCTCGTGACGTCCGCGATCTCATCGGGACTCCGAACAACATTTGGTTACCATTTATCAAATATCCCAATACTACTCTAGCGTCAACGAACGTTAAGCGTGCGACCCTGCGGGTTCAGGAATTATGTAGTCATGACCGAGACACCTCTCCGGTCAATAACCAATAGCGAAACCTGGATTTCCATATTGCTTCCTACATATTCCACGAAGATCTTTTATCGGTTGAACCTTTATGACAACATACGTAATTCCCTTTGTCTGTGATATGTTACTTGCCCGAGATTCAATCGTCGGTCTCTATACCTAGTTCAATCTCGTTACCGACAAGTCTCTTTACTCGTTCCGTAATACATCATCTTGCAACTAACTCCTTAGTCACTTTGCTTACAAGCTTCTTGTGATGTGTATTATCGAGAGGGCCCAGAGATACCTCTCCGATACACGGAGTGACAAATCCCAATCTTGATTCACACCAACTCAACAGACACCTTCGAAGATACCTGTAGAGCATCTTTATGATCAACCAGTTACGCGTGACGTTTGATAGCACACAACGTATTTCTCCGGTATCCGGGAGTTGCATGATCTCATGGTCGAAAGAACATGTATTTGACGTTAAGAAAGCAGTAGCAGTAAACTGAACGATCATATGCTATGCTAACGGTTGGATCTTGTCAATCACATCATTCTCCTAACGATGTGATCCCGTTATCAAATGACAACACATGTCTATGGTTAGGAAACCTTAACCATCTTTGATTAACGAGCTAGTCTAGTAGAGGCTCACTAGAAACATGGTATTTGTTTATGTATTCACACATATATTTATGTTTTCGATATATACAATTCTAGCATGAATAATAAACCTTTATCATGATTTAGGAAATACAATAATAACCATTTTATTATTGTCTCTAGGGTATATTTCCATCAGAAGAGACAGAGAACCCAGAGGCGGAGTAGGTTTCATCCTCTGCATCGATAACGACGGATATCAGCGGTATGGTGCTGTGGAGTCTCAGCGTCTGATGCGGGTTGATGGACTCGTGCAAAAGGACGGCGTTGTCTGTTCTAAAGATGGATAGGTGGAAGACGGTGGCGGTAGCCTCTGAGAGTGCGTCGGACTGGTGTGTGCCCGAGAGACCTGGCATTGTGGCTTGATTGGGGCCTCCGGCTTTAGATGTTAGGTTTTGGTGTGAAGTATGTTTGGTATTCGGCTCGGATTTTTGGTACTCCTTTATCAAGTGGATAGGAATAGCGACATATGTTACTGAGATGGTGGCTTTAGATTTACTGACGTATTATTTTGTATTAAGGTCTTTATGAATAATTAATAAAAATTATTGCATGCATCACCTAAATATAGAGGCTGGGTCATTCTTATTTATTTATTTAAAAAAAATGCAGAGACAGAGAGACTGGGGCCTTCCCCTTATCGAAAAAGGAATGCCGAAGCTAAGGCTTATCCAAGTGAGATTCTATCTAGCACTTGTACGGCACGACATGACACGGTTTACAGCTGATGAAGCCAAACAGTACTACATAGTACTTCATCAGTGGCACTGGCACCACTGTGGATAGGCGCGAGCGAGCTACGTACTTGACTGTACCACACGGCGAGCATCAATACTCTCTTCCCTTCTTCTGAAAGTAAGTACAGAAACAGAGAAGCAAAGCAAATGTTGTTAGAATTAATGAGCTAGGCCCATAGCAATTTCTGAAATCTCAAAGCCCATGTGTAAAATGGCAAGTGGTGGTGCTAAGTTTAGTCCCACCTTGGAAGTTGAAGAAGAGTTGGACATCTTTATATAGTGGGTTCTCTCCACCACTATAAGTGGTGTGTGAGAAGAGAAAGGGAAAACCACACGCGCTCGCTCGCCTCGCCTGGCCTGGCCAGGGCGGGGCGGGGCGGGGCGGGGCGGGGCGAGGCGTACATGCGACAAGGACGAATTAGGTTTTTGGGAAGCGCTGTGTGCGACTGCTCAAATTCGTCATCACGGGTCGTCTTCCGTCCAAGTCGGGCGGTGCTACTCATCGTCGTATTCATCGCCATCAGCAGCAGATCGTCGCCAACATCGTCATCAACACTGTCACACCCATAATAGCTAACGATCAGTACATCCAACATCCTTTGTTCATGTCTTTTCTACAGCTATTGTTACGTGCTTGCTGCTGTTATGCATGTCTTGCTGTTCTTCTAGTTTGCTAGATTATTGCATGCTAGTATCTCTTCTAGTCATGAATTATTTACTGGAATTAATCATGAACTTGCCTAATATTCCAACAATCCAAAAACCTAATTGTAGGCAATTTCCTGAGTTAACTATGGCTGGATTCGCTGATGCACTGAGGCCGGATAAGTTTACCGGTGTGCACTTTAAGAGGTGGCAGGTGAAGACCACACTCTGGCTTACGGCTCTGAAAATTTTCCACGCTAGTGTTGGTGCTCCAGAGGGAATGACCGACGAAGATCGGAGAAAATTCCAGGAAGCCAATACTATGTTTGTGGGATGCATTCTGAGTGTTCTTGCTGACCGTCTGTGTGATGTGTACATGCACATAAACGACGAAAAAATTCTGTGGGATGCACTGAATGCAAAATTCGGTGCAACAGATGCAGGCAGTGAACTGTACTTCATGGAGAGTTTTCATGACTACAAGATGGTGAATAACCGTTCTGTGGTTGAACAAGCTCATGAGATACAGTGCATTGTGAAGGAACTTGAACTCCTTAAATATGTTCTATCCGACAAATTCGTGGCTGGGTGCATGATTGCAAAGTTGCCTCCTTCATGGAGGAATTTCGCCACAACTCTGAAGCATAAGAGACAGGAGATATCAGTTGAAAATCTGATTGCATCTCTTGATGTTGAAGAAAAAGCTCGGGCTAAAGATACCACTGAAAAAGGAGGTGAGGTTCAGCCTACTGCTAACATGGTGCAGAGGTACCCACAGAACAAGAACAAAGGGAAGAACAAACCTGTTGTCAACAAGCCTACCAAGACTACTACCTTCAAGAAGAAGAAGTTCAACAAGGCTGAGCTAGAGTGCTACGCCTGTGGGAAGCCTGGACACTTTTCCAAGGAATGCCCTGAACGTGCAGACCGCAGAGGAAAAACAAGCTCCAAGACTGTCAACATGGTGACCGCTAGCAATACTGATGGGTATGGTAATTTACCTATTGTGCTTTCAGTATTTCAATCATCTTCGTGGTGGATTGATTCGGGTGCTAACGTTCATGTGTGTGCTGACATCTCCCTGTTTACTTCTTATCAGGCCGCAAGGGATTCTTCCGTCCTAATGGGGGAATGGGTCACATGCTTCTGTTCGTGGCATTGGCACGGTGGATCTGAAGTTTACTTCGGGAAAGATCGTGCAACTAAGGAACGTGCAGCATGTCCCTACTATGAACAAGAATCTAGTTAGCGGCTCCCTTCTATGTCGAGATGGATTTAAGGTAGTTTTAGAGTCCAATAAAGTAATCGTGTCAAGATTTGGACAATTTATAGGAAAAGGCTATGAGTGCGGAGGCTTGTTCCGCTTTTCTCTTTCAGATTTTTGCAATAAGTCAATAAACCAAATTTGTGCTAGTGTTAATGATGATGCAAGTATTTGGCACTCTCGTTTATGTCATATTAATTTTGGTTTAATGTCTCGGCTATTCAGCATGAGTTTAATTCCGAACTTCACAGTTGCCAAAGGTTCTAAGTGCCATAGTTGTGTGCAATCTAAGCAACCTCGAAAGCCTCATAAGGCTGCCGAGGAGAGAAACTTGGCGCCTCTAGAACT